TAAGGTTTGGCTTTTCTTCAATGTCCTTTTCCATTAGGGATTTGAGGTAGAGGCCCCCAATACTTATCCCTACATTCAATTATCCACATGCCTTGATTCTGTGTAATACTCTTCCAAAATGCATTCCATTTTGGCATAGAATAGAAAATGAAAATTAAATTTAGGGCCTGTTCTGTCTTTATAATTGCTAAACAGAACCACAGACCTTTTTCATTCAAATCCTGAAGATTAGTACACCTGAACTGCAGCAGCGAAGTATACAGTCAAAGGGAAAATAGCAGCACTTTCAATTTGTCAAATTTTATGGAGTTACTTTTATGCTATGCATTTCCAGGCATTTTTTTCTCCATACTTTTTTTTCCCTTTTATTTATTTAAAATCATCACATATATATGGATTGCATTATACTATCAATGAAATTTTTAATTTCATTGTACACATGTTGTGCATTGACAATAAATGTTTGAATTGATTTAGGTTGATTTGTGAATATTTGCATAATATTGAAAGATCAGTTTGGTATGTGCTGATGGTTTTGTTTATAACATTATTTTGTAATTAAATTTATAGATTTTGTTCGGTAAGTAAAGCAAAATAATTTTTGAGGACTGCTTTTACTTAAATAGAGCCAGTATTAAGATAAACCTCAAATTACAATTCTGTTACTCATCTTTTAAATCTGCTGCTTGTTATGCTTCTTCAATTTAGTAAACAAGAATTAAAACCAAGTGTCAATTATGAAACTTTTGCAGAATTGAACGTTAGACCAGATGTGAAGGACTTCAACTTTCCAGAATTAAAAAATAAACAAACACTTATCTGAAATTGACAGGCATTATTAGTGCATGACAAAATGTACACTTCCTTGTATACAAACAGTGACCTTTTGGTATGCATTCAGTGTAAAATATTTATGACAGTTATAAAGTAGCGGCTAGGTGCAGAGAAACAATAGCCGGGACAGGATTCAGCTGCCAATCTAAAATTTAAATAACATGCAGAAAAGATATTAACGAATTTCACTGGGCTCAGCACTAAAGTATTGTATAAAATGGAAAGAATAAACATTCCATTTTCACAGTGCATTCTCACAATCACCTCTCCAAACCACAGCAGGTAAAACAGATGTAATTTCTAACAAAGACACAGGTGAGTGGGAATTGCCCCTTTCGATAGTTGCATAGTCTGGGGAAAAGTCACACACCGCCTTAGAGCAACCCAGACACAGCAGTGCAACTTTGCCAAATAAGTTCTAGAATTTGAAGAATGGCTGGCACACAAATTTCAGCTAAAAAAAGGCGGGCCTTCTCATCGACCCTCCTAGCTACGGCTGCTTCCTGTTTACTAGCGCCTCGTCCCATTTACGCTTTCTGTTGGTGTTTATCACCGTAGCGTAGACCTAAAGTGGAGTTAGAGCACAAGGGACACGGGTGTCGCAGGGCGAAGTATCCTCCTTTCCATCACCCACTCTTCCTATTCTTCTCGGCTTTCCCTGACTGGCTCCGAGTTCTCTCCTGGCCACCATTCATGGCCCTCCCCACCCCCAGCATTGTTACTTCTTTAAGTTTAAGATAATACAGTCCACCAGAGGGGGGGGGGGGGACGCCTAAAAAACGGAACAACAGCTTCTTCCTTGTCTTACCCAGCCAGGCGACTTAATCGCCTGCCTCGTTATCAACCGGAGCCAGGCGGCTTCGGCTGCGCTTCCTGCACAGCCGCCGCTGTCTTCAACCCCAGGGATCAAATAGCTCTTGGAGACCCTCGAGAGTTGCTTTCCGCGTCGCCCGGCGCCCCCCGCCCCAAGCGGACCCAGAACCCGGCGCGACCTCTCGAAGGGCTGCAGCTGGGACAGGCTTACCTGGCCAGAGTACTTTTGCCTGAGCCGGGCAGGCCGCGGAGCAAATAGAGGCTTTTGCTGAAGCGGCGAGCTGGGGGCGGGCGGCGGGGCTGCTGGAGGCTGAGGCCCCCGAAGGCGCGGACCAGGCTATCTTCCATAGCGGCGAGACGGCGGCCGCAGCTGCAGCTTCCTCATCTCAGGCGACTGTGGAGCCTTTCGGAGTCACCTGGTGGGGTTTACATTGCCCTTCGGCCGCGTGACTTGAGATGGGCAGCGCCGCCCCGCTCCGCCCTCGTTTCTCCGGAGCCGAGGAAAGGCCGCGCCAAAGGAGCCGGCCGAAAGCGAAAAGGATGCGTTGGAAGGCCCTCTCCGAGGACGGCTCCTTGGAGGGAAGGCCGGCGCGTGGCCCTTTTGCCGGGAGACTAGAGTCGCTCCCGGCTAACTAACGTGTCAAATCCCACGCTGAGGAGGGCCCTGCTTCGGCCGACCTCAATCTGTCAGGAAAAAGTCCAGTCCGATGGGGGGTCCCGCGAAGTCAGCTCAGTCACGATCTGGGGGATCACGCACTTGAATGGGCTTGGCGCTTCCCCCCCTCCCAAGCAATAACCAGGCAGCAGTTGGCTTACGATGGGTTGGGCAAAGCGTCTGGATAGGATTGCAGCCTCCGAGAGGAGGACGTTGGAGCCGCCAGCTCTGGCAGCAGAAATCCGGGCAACCATTAGGTGGCGAAGAGAGTTTTTTTTCTGGGGAGTGAAGACCCGTTCCGGAGACTGGCTGAACTGTTAAGGAGCCCCCGAAGAGCATAGCCGTGGACTGGCTGAACGATTTTGCCTCAATTGCGTGCAGTTGTCACATTCTCTGCCATCGGACGGCTGCTGGTATCATAAGCTAATTTAATTTAGCGATGCCAGTTTTGAATGTGTTATTGGCAATTATTACAAAACGTCACCCGGATTGTTTCTCTATACATGTCAATTTGCACAGCTAATCTATGTGCAGTTTGTGTCGTTTAATCCTAGAGTTTATTTTTCCCCATGCCGATCAATTCGTCTTTTACCTCCAAAATGTTACACACAGTATGTAAATACAACATTTTAAAATATCCACTGGTTATTTTGCAATTGATGAGCTTAGTTATCTCTATCAAATATTTGGAATTGGATTAGTTTGAGTGAGTGGATGGAAAAACAAATAAAGGTTTTCTTATTACTCAAGGCTAGTGAACATTTAAAACATTTTGTTATATTTGTTATACAAATGTAGTTGGTGCTGTAACAAAATAATATTCATTTATTCAGAATTGGTAATTTCTTCTAGTTTAGAGATGAAAAATTATTTAAAATATTACTATCCAACTTCCAAATGATAAATGTAAGAGTTTTAGTTAGTAGTTATATATTCTCATATTGGCTCTTGGTAGAATATTTTAGAAGTAGGGTTTATTATAGTTTCTTCACATTTATTAAGAGAATTAATTGATTATAAACAATTACAATGTATAAACAGAATATAAGTTATTTTTAAACAGACACGTCAACAATTTTCTGCATTTATTTTTAGAATGTTTTAGTTTGCCAATTTTTTTGTTTTTTTCTATACTATATTGGTTATTTTATTTTTCTTTTCCAGTTGTTAAATATTACTGGTTGTCCAGTATTTAACTATTACAACTTCTACTATTTCTTCCTCTTCTCCCCCTTCTCCACCACTCTCTTCTCTTTGTTCCCTTAACAGTTCTATTTATTGTTCTTATAATGAAGTCAGTCAGTTATCTCTTTATGTACTTGCATTGTATCAGAACAATAAATACATTATACATTACGTACTATTTAACCTGAAAACAAACTACAACTAACTGCCGATCAAGTTGCAGTCATATTTGTGTACATAGGTCTTATGTTTTATTATAGGAGTTGGAATTTACCACTTGTCATACTCATATGCTACATTAATGGAAATATAGTTAGAAATAACAGAAATAAATAATTCAGCTCTGTCCTACCTTTGTCATGGTGTCCAGTTCCATATACCACATTTTAATAAGGCCACAGAGAAACCAAAAGAGATTGAAAGAAAAGCAATAAGGATAATCTTGGGATTAGAAAAAAAGGTATATGAAGACATGTCTGTTTAGTTTCGTGAAATGCCTATTAAAGGGCATAGGATAGCTGCCTTCTAGCAGCAAAGGAGTGTCATACAGAGCAGGGGTCGCCAACCTTTTGGACCTCAGGGACCACCAAATTCATAATTTAGATCCCAGGAACCACTAATTGGTTATGTGGGCATGGCCTAATTTGTGGGTGTGGCTTGGTCATGTGACTGCCTGGGCATGGCTTGTATGTACATATTATAAATATTTATATAAATATTGAATTTTCTATTAAAAAAAGCAACTTTTACCCAAAATCAGGCAAAGCAGGAAGATTGAGTTGCTCACAGAATCATTGAGTGATCTATCTATCTGCCATCGGATAGCTCAGTCTCTCAAATTTGCTTGCCGTGAGTCTGCACTGAATTTGCTTGCAAGCAAATCTTCAGTCCTAAGGGAGGTTCAGCTGTGCTTAGCTAGAACGCAAGAAATCCAACCATTTCCTGCTTCCTAGCTAATCTAAATCTCCCGGCAAAGCAGAACAGATGATGGTCGGAAAAAGGAAAAATAGCAACTTAGTAGACAAGTTTGCCAGGTAAGGAGTGAGTGGGCGGGGTGGGTTCCCACGGGCCATGTGGGCTGAGCAGCCTTGTGTTTCTGTGCAGCCTGGATTAATTGCTTTGGGGGGGTGCTCTGGGGGTGAGATTTCTCTGTGGCCCACCAAAATTTTCTCATGGCCCACCGGTTGGCAACCGCTGATACAGAGGACAATGATAGCTTGTTTTCTTGTTCCAGGACATAAAATAATGGTCTTACTATAACAGCGAATGGATTCCAGTTAAAGGTTAGCAGAAATTTTCTAATGATATGAAGCATTACACAGTAATTCATAGAGAGGAATCCTCACACTGGATATGTTCAGGAACAGGCTGGATAGACCTTAGGCCAGGTATGACTTTCATCTGGAGGATGGCATGACCTTTCCAAATCTATGATGGTATAACCCTTAATTTGGGGGGGAGGGGTATCATACATACATGACTTAAATAATTGAAGCCACATTATTTCACTTTGTCCTTTTAACAATGACAATCACTCTTCACAATTTTATTTGAAAATGAAATTCAAAAGCAGCAGGTGACTTAGATAGGGATTCAAAAAGTTTGATGCTTTGTACTTTTGCTGATTCCTGTTGTTTACTTTTATTCTAGATGGTTGTTAATTTGAGTCCACCCAAAGAAAAGCCAAAAAGCAAGCACATTCTGTAATATAATAATAATGAAAAAATAGTGAAAGATCAAACCTAGGTATTAAAGTCTTACAACTATCTTAGCTACCCAAACTATAATTCATATATTAACAATTGCAATTAAATAAAATAAAATTGACATCACATTTTATTAAGGTTTATAATTTTATGTTTTAGTTGCAAACAAAAATTTAGCTATTTTTAACTAATTAATGCATATCTCCACATTATAATAGTACTTTTGTTAAATAACCTTTCCCTCTGCATAATTATCTTTCTTGCATCTGCTTTGCACAGAAGAACTTAACTTATAGCCAAATGTTATGCTCTGATCATAAAATATTTAAATAGTGTTAAGACATTTTAAAGTTATGCAAGAACTTAATTTAAAATTCAACACAAAGAAAGCGGGTTTCAGAGAGAAACAAAAATGTGGTTGTTTCACTGTCACAAGCTGAGGTTTAGGGAGTATTGCATGACAATTTAGGGTTTAATTAAAAGATTGGTTCTGAAATAGAAAATAAAATAGATATCATCATGGCAATATTCCAAGAAGTTCCAAACATACAGCATAACAAAAAACAAAAGAAGGATCTTACGGTCCTAACAATGGAGGATAGTGGATAGGGATGCAACCAGATACAGATGATCCTCGACTCAATGGAGTTCAGAATTAGTAAGTTGTGTCAATTGTTAAAAAGGCCAGCACATGACCAATCCGATTTTATGACATTTTTTTGTGGTGTCAACAATTAGTGTTTTTTGTCAGAAACTGCAAGTAAACACCCGTTTCTGGCAAAAACTTCATAGACTGGTCACATGGCCATGGGATGCCATAAATGTGAGCCAAATGCCAAAAATGCAACCATGTGACCGGGGATGACTGGTTGTTAGTACCGTTTGATGGGGGGAGGTATATCATAAATTTGAATGATCATGAAGTGACCAGTCATTAAGTGAGGACTACCTGTATGAGTAAAGAGATAAAAAGGGTGGTCATGGAGGAATTTGAAGGTAAGGAAAGACATCTGTGTAAGATCCTGAAGGACACTAACTACTATTGCAGTTGTCTAAGTAGGACATATTGGAATCAAAAAGATAACCAATTATCTCAGCAAAATTTTGGATAAATATGAGCAGTTAAACCAAGAATCAGAAGAAAGAAATTTGAAGGAGATAGTAGAAACAGTTCTTTTTATTCAGGAGACAGTTAAGTATTACTTCACTTTTGTTATGCTGTACAGGTACAGGACTTCAGTCCTCACATTGCATATGGTCCTTGGAAGCTTTGTGGTATGACTGCTTAAACCTCTCTAGTTTTGGACAATTTAAAATTTTGTTTTAGGCAGTTTTAAAAAAACTGCATTTTTAAAATGGGATGGAAGAGGGAAAATAAATACATCAGGAATAATATTAACTGAATATAATTAATCTAAATTACAATAAAATGTAAACTAATCTAATTTAGATTCAATCCCAGATTCACCTACTCTTTTTCATACTACCTACTTTTCACATTCAGCCTCTGTTATGCCACTGATAAGTTAAAAGTGCCCTTGGTGTGGAAAAGATTGCACACTGGTGTTGTAAAGGAAGTTGTGGCAGTTTGGTTGGAAATAGCCTACAGAGAACAAACAGGATGGAGGAATCAAAAACTAAAGTAATACAATGGTCCTCTTTAACAGAGTGGTAGGATGCTAGAGGATTTTCACACTCAACTATGGGTAATCAGTATAAATAATACACATCTTCAGCAATTATGGTTTAAAAAATATATGAGCCTGCTATTGCCTCAGTAATAATATTGATCTTCTCTTTGTAAGCTACTTTTTAATCTTGGTAATATTCTAAAACAAACCATTCCATTCATTTTGTCTTTATCCCATCATTTCTTCTACAATGCAAAGTTCACCTCAACAATCGAGACTAGCAAAACCAGAAGCAGCCATGTTCACTTGATGGGGGTCTGGTTTATGAATTTCATATTCAGAACAGGTCAAAGCTTTGAGCTAACAGAATCAAATCAAAGAAAGAAATTACCTTTCTGCAAAAAAGGTTGATTGTTTTTAAATAAAAATCTCAGAGTAGCTAGCATTATTGCTTGGATATATAGCTTGAAACAATTTTTCAGAGCAATGATGGTTCTTCCAAAGGCATTTCTGAAGATTTTCTTTCTTGACCATCCTTATTTGAATCCTGGAGAGCAGCTGCAGCAACTACAGATAAAGAGACAGTATAAAACAGCGTAAGGATTTTACATGCCTTTGTTTCTGCACTGGTCAGAATCTTTCATCAGAACGAGCAGGACAGGGTTCCCAGTTCCCAGCATGAATCTATGGTTGCTTGCTTATCTGACTCTACACATGGGTGCAGTATCGCCACTTTAACCTTAGTACAATGTTGTATTATGACCAATTGCTGGTTGCTGGTTATAAATCAGACTAAAAAGTCACTCACCGAGCAAGGAATTCTCTTTCAATTGGTTACTTTCCTGTTTCTTCTGCAATAAAATATAAAGGGAAATGGTACATGTATCTTATATTTCTTTTCTACAGGAAAAAAAAAATCTGTTCTTTAACACCTGACAGCAATGCTTGTTCGAACTTCACATCCATTTTGATATGAGCTGTGTTGGCGCACTGATTAGAATGCAGTATTGCAGGCTAACTTTGCTCACTTTGCCAGGAGTTTGATTCCTTCGATCCTGTCCAGCTGAAGGTTGACTCAACTTTCCATCATTCTGAAGTTAGTAAACTGAGGACACAGATTGTTAGGGGCAATATGCTAACTCTGTAAACCACTTAAAGAAGCCTGTAAAGCACTATGAAGTGGTATATAAGTCTAAGTGCTATTGCTATTGTCTAATAACTGCTGTGTATCATTGCATAAATTACTAGGTATAATTTACAGATGACTAAGAGCCATCAATTATTTTGTATAATATACAGGGGAGTAATGGACATACCTCCACAGATGTCTTCCACTGTAGATAGATCTCCTTTGATATTGCCCAGTCAAGAGGAACTACATAATCATCTGGTAATAAACTACCTACAAAACAAGATCACACAAAGTGTTTTTAATCTACTCATAGGTTTGAAGTTTACATAAAATAGATGTGACAATCATTTGATTGTAGGTAGTACTAACCTAAGAGCACATTAGTTATTTAATTATGATGCTACAATTAATGGCATATGTTGAATATACAAGATAACTGAGCTATTAAAGCTTGATTCACACTTGCACATATCACTTTTTTACTTAAGGCTTATTAACTTAAAATTGGATCTCATGCTGAATGAAATGAAAACTAGAAAGTTTTTGAGATATTATATTGGGAGCAATGAAAATGAAATACGCAGTGATTTATTTTTTAATTGGTCATTAGTTTATATACTAGATGTATTGGAACAACTGCATGAAGGAAGGTATGTAATCCATGATAAAAAAACATTTGTTACAATATACCATATTTTTTGCTCCACAAAATGCACAGGACCATAAGACACCCCTAGGTTTAGAGGAGGAAAACAAGAAAAAAAAATGTGGCAGAGCCTGAGAGGACCAGAGATAGGTGTCCTCTCATGTGCCAGCTCTGCACTGATTCCTGCACTGCGGAAAAGAGACAGAAGAGGCAGGCAATAATAAAGACAGATGAGATGGGGTTCAGCACCCTAAAAGGACCCCACCACTGCAGCCTGGCTGCTATTCACCAAAGGACCAGCACCGGTCCACTGTTGGGGATCCCTGAGGTAATATAATTCATGGTCTGTGACGCAATACTCACTCCATAAGACGCACAGACCTTTTCACCCACTTTTTTGTGGGGAGGGAAGTGCGTGTTATGGAGTGAAAAATACAATAATTGCAGCAGTCAAATATGAAATACAGATAGTCCTCAACTCACAAGAGTTCATTTAGTGACTGTTCAAAGTTACAATGGCACTGAAAAATGTGACGTTATGACCATTTTTCATAGTTATGACCTTTGCAGCATTCCCCATGATCATGTGATCAAAATTCAGATGCTTGTCAACTGGTTCATATTTATGACAGTTGCAGTTTCTCGAGGTCTCGAGACCACCTTTTGCAATCTTCTGTTGAACAAAGTCAATGGGGAAGCCAGATTCACTTAACAACTCAAAACAGTCTGAATCCAGTCTTTGAACTATGGTTTGTCCTTTACCATAACATAATTACATACTAAATTTACTGCAACAGATACAGTGCAGTAAGGAGAAAGTGTAATTAAAGAAAAAAATCAGAAAAATTATGAACCATAATATCTAAATGGATATGGGAAAGACAACTTGGATGAGTAAGGTAGATATAAATTTAACAAGCAGTTATTGATAGATTCAAGCAAGGAGAGAGTGAAAAAAGATGCATTCTTCATGGGGTTTTCCTTCATGGGAATAGTAGCCGGCCAACTGTGTGTGAGATTTTTTTTATGTTTAGATTTTTTTGGAAGCCACCAGAACCATTTGGAATTTGGCAGCATATTCCATTCTAAAACAAACAGTTGGAGTTCTTCTGGCAGTTTCCTTTGGACAGAGACAATTAGTTTTTAAGGCTCTATGAGCCCTTTCATGTAAAGTAATGGATTGGAAAGAGCAATCAACTGCAATTCACCTCAATAGCAAGAATAGTGTTGCATTAATGGTGATCATGGTTTTGGCTCAGTTGCTTTTATAGACCGGTTTCTTCTATTGCCATTCCACTTTGGATGAAATGATGAATACATTTGGGAACTGTTTTTTTAAGATAAAATGGGGATTATTGTCAGAGGGAATGGATGGCAGCTAGACTAGAACTCAGCTGTGACTTTGAATGTTGCTCACTGGATTAAGAAAGTTGAGTTAGGCAACTGCAAGATGGCATCTCGGGGGTAGCACTAGGTAGGTGTTTTCACTCTCAGCCAAGGAGCAGTTGATCCAGCTGTAGTAAATTGAATTTTAAAGTAGAAGCCAAAGATTCATTCAACACAATGGCTTAATTTTCACAGTGTATATGTTGTAGCAACATGATATGAGATGGGCCATATGTTTACGTTATTATAAAAAGATTAATAAGCTAGAGGTGTTATGTGGTATTCTTTGTAAAGCTACATGGAAAAAATCTAGAGTCTCATTTAAAAGTTCTAGCATTGCTAACTGACAAAATTAATTTGTTGTCATTGTAGTGACAATTTGAATAATACTGTGACTAGAATAAGGAATATCAACAAAATTGTGAAAATGTTGACGTTGTTCCTATAAGCAAAACACTTCTAACATAGTTTGAATAGTTCTGCCATATCTATAAAACATTTTCAAAGAGAAAAGGCATCAAGGGCTGGAATATTTTTAAAATATCAAGCTTCTCACTTGAACTAAATGTTTGAAAAAAAAGAACTATGGCATTGCTTCAGCAAATGTGGAACTGATGTGCCCATTTAGTGGACATGATAAGAAACATGCAAAATAATTACACAGAAAATAAATTAAATTGAAAATTGGCAAGCCTGAAATCTAAAATTAATCACATGATTTTTATGAGGTTATTCTTCATGAGGATATATACTAATCATTAACATCATAATGGAATTTTCAGTTTTTTGAACCTGGCATTTTTACCCCCAAAGTAAGCAATAAAATTAACTTCTGTATAAAAAGGCAATGAATACTAAATTGCATGCTAAAGTTTAAATTGCTAAATAATTTTTTAAAATTCAACTATATGAAATTCTACACTTTTCTCAACTTTATTTTAGCTAATAATTACCTAATGGAACTCCTGGAGAACCGAAAAGTTCTACGAGTTGAAGTACAAATCTTAGTGATAAAGGAAGCTCCCAATTACTGGATTTTGTATATGGGGAATCTTGAACATCTTTGATCGGAGAATGTACTTTTTGTTCACGTTCATTAATCACTTCCATATTTTCAAAAGGTTCAGCCATAGTGTTTGTAAGGCATTCAGTAATTAGTTTAATTGAATGCAAAATATCTGGCTGAGTAGTTGAAGTATCTGGAGGTATCTTTTTCTTTTCTTTAATTTCTATTGTTTCATCACATTCAAACAATTCTTGTTCAATTGGTGAGGGAGCTTTACAGGAAACAAAAGCATGTTCATGAATTGGAGTATCAGATTCTTTTGTTGGAATAGTCACAGATTCTTCTGCAAGTTGTTTGGAACCATTTTGTAAGGGAACTTCCACATCAAAATCAGAAAATTCAACTACTGCATTGTAATTGGATGCTTGAAGTTCACAGCATTGTTTGTTCTTTTCTATAATTTCTTCATTTGAAATGTCTTCTTTCTCTGTATCTATATTGTTTAGCACTTTCTGATTATTTTTAGGAGGAATATGCCATGGTAAATCAAAGTTTGGGGCCAATTTGAAGATCCTTTTATGTTTCTCTTTTTTATTTGATAAAGCTAATATACACCCATTAGTTGTGAAACTGGCTTTCTTTCCACTTTCTCTGACAAATTCACTAGCATTATCACGTATCTTATTTTCCATCAGCAATGACAAAGGGCTATTTGTTGTATCACTATTTTCAGGCAGGAGTCTTACACTGTTTTCTTTCACCAATTCTTTACTAGAATTATAATCAGTTATTTCTGTTGTTGCATCTGAAAGCATCTTCTTAAGCATTTTGACCTTTTTTGATCTTTGCTCAAACATGATTTTAGATAGATCCTCAGGCCAAGTCAAACACGATTCTTTTTTTTCTGTCTTGATCTGAAATTGTTCATCAATCAAATCAAAGGAAAAGAAAGCCCAGGAATTCATTTCATTACTTTCTGAAGTTCCATGTGGATGTGGAAGAGTTGTTTCCTCTTCATTGCTTAACATTTGGTTTCTTTGGACCAAGTTTTCAGCAGATGTATTTTTGTTTTCTTTATCAGTCAATACAATAATTTTTTTTGCATCATTTTGATCTGATTGTTGAAATGAATTTTGATAATAATCTAAAGTGTTACTGTCACTTTCTGCAAGCGATATGCTTTTGATCCCATTCGATAAATGACAGTTGGATAATTGGCCAGCTATATTTTCATTTAGAGTAATTGATAGTGACACATCTTCAGTAATATCTGCTTTTAGTGACTTCTTTAAAGACGCTGAATTTACCACAACAGAATCAAGGAATTCCTTTTTTTGCAATTCAGAAAGCTGTACATGATTATACTTCATTGAGCCATTCTCACTATCAATTTTAGCTTCATCTGAATAGCCAATCACTAATTCTGATTGTCCATTGTCTTCTGAATTTTCTTGCTCACTTTGTGATAAATCCCCATCATTTGGAATTAAGTGTCCATCTGATCTTATGTCCACTGATGTAATATCAGCATTTTTTATTTTTCTGTTCTTCCTTCGTTTCTTTTTTTGTTTTATCTTGTGTAATCTGTGTTTCCTCTTTACAACCAGTTCCCTAAATAGAATAAAGAACTAAATATGAACGAATTATTCAGAATGCTCTTAGCGGCAGACATGCACATAATGACTAACACATGGAGCATCTCAAGACAGTTATGGAGTGATCCAACTTTCATCACATCAACAGCTTCATAACATTTTTCTAAATATTCAAAATTTCCACAGAAAATATTTTGTACTTAAATCTTAGATAATAAGAGCAGAAAGTACTGATAATCAAACTTAAAAACAGACCAGGGTATTGTGTTGGAATGATATGTTCACCAGCATGAAACATTACACATACACATAAACACACGTACACATACACACACACACACGCACGCACGTTTACATGAGAAGGCATTTTACATGAGAAGGCATTTGTAACCAGAAAATAGTAGTACAAAAGATGTATTCAAGTTGTAATATAGAATTCATGACTTTTTTCTAGTTAGTTACGGAAGACATAAGAAAAAATCCTCTCTGATTATGGTTTCATTATGTGTAAGATGGTATTTTTAAAATAGGCATCAAAGTCCAAACTGCTTCAATCTGCTTTCAACTGAAATATGAAACTCATCCATATATTTAAGTTCTACTAAAATCCATAGAATATCATTTACATCAATGTATATTTCTGTCTGGAGAAAAAAAAAGTTAATTTACATTGTTTATTTCATTTCATAATTTTACTCGTGTGCCATTTTGAAATGACATTTTACCCTGAAAAGATACATAATAACTAGGAGGATGTTGCTTTAAAACTGAAAGAGTAATGAATAATTTTCATCCTCTAGCACAATTTTTTTATTAATATTATTTGACCTCACCTCATCTCATTCTCAAATTGTTTATGGATAATTCCTAAATGAAGGACAAAACACATAAAATATGTTAGCTAACATCAACTTGCTAATTTATGCATCCATTCATAAAGAATTCCGTAACTGAACTACTTATGCATGGACACTATGGAACAGAAATGTTGACAGAATGGCATTAGGTCTCATCTAGCATGGTTCTTCTTTTCTTCAGTCAATTAAATTTAAATCCTGTATTTATTCCCGATTTCCCTTCTCTACTTGATTTTTTGTGTCAGAATTTTTATTGCAAATTTGTCACAGTAAGAAATTCTTGTGCACTGTTAAAAGCTACAGTATATACTAAACTATGAGACACACAGTATTTATGGCTGTGTCTGTCTCTGTGTAGTCTCTCTGGGGAAAAGCAAAATCAAGATTCCAATCAACTGTTCACTCCTTCATATGAATAGAACCCAGAAGTCTATTTGCAGTCTTATGAAAATATATACCAAGGAGATAGATCCAAACTTACAACAGAAGAGGGTAAAATTTATGTATTACTAAAATTGTCTATCATGACTTTAAACTAGACGAAACAGTGTATCATAGCGCAACAATTTTTGAACCAAGAGACTTCAAATGGACTAATTTACAGAATGTGTTCAAAATCTGGGACCCAAGACTGCTGGGGGAATGAAATTTTAAAAAGTTGTAGCTGCTTAGTGCTACTGGTTGCTGTTGCACTGCTGGGCTGCCGCTGTGGTTACATGATCTCTTGTTTTCAACATTCTGTCTTGTAATCGCCCACTCCCCCACCAAACTACAGCCACTTACCTGCTTGTTGGGTAGGGTAGGATAGGGAAGGAAAGATCTCTGATGCTTCCTGCCAGATTCCGTCAACGAAACTCAATGGGGAAGCCATCAGGAAGTCACTCCTGATCCCACTACATTTTGCCCACCCTTGGTCATTCCGTTTCTCTTTAGGCAAGCAAGTATCTCTGAAATGATGACCCAGTGGGGCATGGGTTGAAAATAAATTTAGAACTGCTTTACCTTATCTAGCATTTGTGTGTAGGGAGTAATTCAAAACTAGCATTTTCTATTTATGATCTTCCTAGTAGCAGGAAGTTCTTAGCACTTTATTCTGCCACATATGTTAATTGCATTTTCTCTCTGTTCAAAATCCAAAACCTTGTATCACACATAGTGGGTATTGGCAATATTAAGACCTAATATTTATATTGTAATTTATAGAGAAATTAACCTCCTCTTAATGACTACCATGGGATTTAGTTCTGAATGAACATGTATAGGACTGCATTATTAATCACTGTTAATAAAAATCATACTTACCTGATAGAGAACATATTAATCACTGTTATATAAATTATTATCTACAATCACTTGTTTATTTACTACCATATGTACATACGTATACACAACAATCCAATTTGTTCAAACTGACATAAAGGTGAAAACTTGCCTTGCTTTCACTTTTGTGGCAACAAGATGATGATTAATACAAAAGTAGAAAAAATGGTGCTCGTTGTCTGCTATAAGGAATAAGTACAGAATTGGAGACAAATAACGTCTACTGCTGAAAGGAAAAGCCACCTCCATATCATATGAGGCTTTTGTGGTAGACCAGATCAGAAAACACAGTAATACTAGAGTTGCATTTTATGGAGATAGACTATATAGCAATAGAATCCTGCAAGTTTGATAAGAGTTTCTCCTCCCCTTGCTCCCCAGTCAGTCAGGAAAGAGCCAAGTTTCTTCTTAATGTTATCTCCTTTCTAGCCTTAAGGAATGCCTTTGTCCTTTTTGTTTAGGTAATCATTCCCGAATCTTTGCCTCAATATTATCTCCTAGGTTTCTGCATATCATGATCAGCTACATAATTATGCTGAGATGAACAAGGACAATATTCTCATATTACTAATGACAAAATATGTACTATTAACTTGCAAAATACTGATGCACTGATTAATAGTTATAAGCACACACTGTTAAATGCAAAGTTTAATATATTAAAGTTACTGAACTTAATTTTTACAAGAATCTCTTCTACTTAAAGGAAATGGCAATGGAGCAAACAATTAAGCAGTACATTATGCAAAATATCTTTTAATTATTTCTATTTAGTAGTAATTACATGCATATTTTTCAATACATTAAAGATTAGGACACACAAAAATTAATAAATATCCAGAATTCAATCTGGACTTTGAATCTCATCTGCATGATTCTTCAATCCTCTATGTGCTTATGTTTTAAAAGAAAAAGAAACACATGAAACAGAAAGTCATGTTTGTATGTTTGTAGAAACTTATGATAAATAATAAAAAAGTAGAAAAAGTAGAGTTGTAGAGAAAAATAATTGATCAAAACTGCACTTCAGTAGATAACATTGCCATGGAGTTAAAGAAATTTGGGGTTTTCGAATGACTGTTGAAAAAAAAAATCACTTAACTACTGACTAGTAAAGATTCCATCCACATTATGAGGTAACTTTCATCAACCTGGGTGCCCTAGAGATGCGTTGATTTCATTTCCCTTCCCAGCCAACATGGTCCTTGATGAACATTTGGAAGTGTGAGCTCATAGGTGAAGTTATCGTAAGAGTTCTGTAGGTGTAGAATGATCTACTTACCCTACATTTGAATTCACTGTCAAAGAGCAAAGTATAATGGAACCATTATTCCATCATGTGGACATCCTGGTGAAGGCTGAAGGTTTCATACAAAATCATACAATATAAGTAAAAGTTTTTTGTAATGTTGAGTCAGTAGATTCATAAACATGTCAGCCTAGTAGGCACGAGAGATGAAGTGAATATTTCCATTAATAATTTGATTATCTAGAAATATTATGGAGGAGTACGTTTAAATTATATTTCAGGCTTCTGCTTTAATAAATGTCTTTACTTTTTCAGATTTCATCACTGAGCATAGGTATTGGGCCCTGCATAAGTTCTTTTTTAAAAAAAAATCTAGTCATGAAAGCCAAATTATTTTTACCAATAGTTCTTAATAACTTGTAGGAACTTTTTCTACAGGTCATGCTACTCTTTAACTTCCAAAGGTTTCATGCAGAAATGGAGCTTGGTGAAATACTCAATTCAATTGAGACTGGATTTCTGAAGCAGTAGTACAAAACCATGCAAAAAGAAAAGAGGTATTCAATTTATTACATGGCATTAGCAAAAAACTTTTTGTGAATTCAGCCACAAAAATATCATGAAGTGGATATTGCATATATCATATCCTAAACAAATGTAATATGGTATAACTAATGTCCATTTCACTTTTTCAACATATTTGAATGTATTAATTCTTTTGTAAGAAAATTTAAGTACCCATATCAAAAGGCACAACATTTAACATACCATAGTAATGTGGATTTAGGATTTGATAAAAAAAGTTCTTGAGAACTGATTTGTAAGAATACAAATCACATGCTGCATGCTGATATTCAAAGTCACAGATTTTAACTGCAGAATTTTGCTACCATTTTTTCAACTTACAACTTGCACAGATAGAATTCTGTACAGATCAGAAAGTGGAAACATAAGAACCTCAGCTGAATGTCAATGTTTGATTGATAAGCTTCATAATAACATAACTGTTATCAATAAATATGCAGAATTTGAAATGCTACTAAAAGTAGAAAAAAGAATTGTTCAAATGTAATTCCGATATTAAAAGTTACCCTATTGTTATTTATTAAAAATCCATTCTATTGAGAAAAAGAAACTGCTCAGCAGTTTGCGGTATAAGTAAAAAGTTGCACTAAAAATCAGTAATTATCACAAGTTTCAATAAAATAAAGATTAGTACAAATATAAAATGTGAAAGTATTTTACATTTTAATATTAAACATTTACATTTTTATAAATAATTCCAAGGTATTTAATCTGCATTAAATCTATTTTAGTCACAAAAGAAATTAACAGAATATTTAAAACAGATCAACAAGGAATTAAGTCTTTTCAATAGATTTAACTCTACTAATTGTATATAAATGGCAAGTTATTACTGATAAAGAAAATTGACCTTAAATGTATCCTCGCTTAAAAGTATTAAAAGTATTCCAAGAGACTGAACAGTCTCCCCACCTCTCTCTTCTTTGTAAATATGGTCTTTGTGAAGTTTTATGAAAAGGAAGCACTGAATTCATGACAATGGGTATCGAGATTTGATATTCATATCTTTCCAGCATTTGTACAATCTTCTCACGACTGACCCCATGTTTATTCCTCCTATAAAAGAAAATAATTTAAACAAATAAAAATCTGATCATCTTGGAATACCACCTAGAATGCCTTCAGTTTATGTTCTTCAAAAAAAATTGCAAGACTAATACATATTTAAGTGGAAAAATAGCAATTGATCAGTGATTTTGAGCGTAAAAGACGTTCAAGAAAAGTAGCAGCATTTTATCTGTCTTAAATATATAGTTTAATTGTGGATGTTTCTCATTTAAAACAAATGTATTAAAATCTCACAATTTCTGCATATTTGTAAGTATCCTAAAAACAAATAGGCAGGTACCAACAAGGATTTTTTTTTAAGTAGACAAAATGAAGAGATCAAGAGAGGCATAAACTTAGTATTTTTTGTTGGAGGCTGCTGCTACATAGTTTCTTGAACAGTTTGGCATATTTACTTATTTATTTTTACACTGATATATTTCTTCATTTCCTTTAACTGCTGCCAAGTATCCTGGCACAAGGTACAACTGATATATTGGATTTATAGTACTTGAATGGACCTCTGGGGCAGGTCACAGATAGGACTTATATGTAGCCTGCAAATCCTAGGAAATTTGTGGATCAGGACAACTGAATAACAAGAGATTGTGAATGAAACTCTATGAGCGTAAAAGGGAACTGTAGTTATATGACTGTACACCAAGAAGTTGGTATTGACTCTTAGAAATCATATAGACAAATTTTCTCTACCGTGATCCTAACTTCCAAAAATGCATCCATTGCTACCATTGTCACTGTAACTGAACTCATCCATCTTACTAATTACAAGCATCAGCATAATTAAAAATAAACTATCCAAGGGAAAGCACACCATGTGGTTCTATTTCACAAAGCCTAGAAATTAGCCTTGGAGCAGGGACAAAGATAATTTCAAGTTTATACAAAAAATTTCAAAAGTTTCAAGTTGCATACGTAAGGACAATAATGGAAATGAGAAGTATTAAAGAGAAGTTTCATACATTTTTTTTTTTCAAATGAGTGAAGCATAATTTAAGTCTTACTTTTCTAGTTCTTCAGGATTAAACTTCCACCATGTGTCTGGTTCATGAAATTCCACATGGTAGCCTTTTTCTAGAGCCTAAGCAAACAAGAAATACAGTTATAAAAGGAACATCAGATAATACTTTTTCTGATCTTGTCTGCAATCCTGTATGTATATACCAAATTGGAAATAAGTCCTATTATATATAATAGGATTTATTTTAAGAGGGCATGTATAAGATTGTACTTCAATTTCAGCACATTTAACATAATTTTTATTCCAGTAAAACTTTTGTTTTATGAAATTTATATAGTTCATAAGACATAGTTAATACATGATGAAATGTATGACAAAATGATTAATACATTTACAGAAATTAGATTTATATATTAAGACAGAAAAGTGGCTGCTTTATTTACCGCTTTCACATAAGGCTTCATTTCCCAAGCTTGTGTATTTGTGTTGTCTATAATAATTGGGGATCTTCCTAGATCCATTGCTTCTTTTGCTGCAATACATAACAATTCAATTAGATAAATGGCAGCTAAAATAGTTAATCTTTTGAAAACCTCCTGAGAGAATAAAAGTTGAAGAGACCTATCATCTCCCTATTCTTGTTTGAATATGTCCGGTTGATTATGCACTGGCACAGAATGGGAGACTAGACTAGTCACTGACTTGATTTAACTCTTCTTAAATTCTGAAGACTACAATTAATTAATTAATTAATATAAGATCGAACATCCATTGAGAGCATTTTGGCATACTGTATAACGGTGTGGTATGTTGGATGCTCTGTAGTGGATAAAAAGATGCTCCAGAGAGTTATAAACACAGCACAAAAAATCATTGGTTGCTCTCTTTCTTCTTTTGAAGAGATTGCAGAGACCAGACTCCTCTCTAGAGCACTAAAAATCTCCACAGACCGTTCTCATCCTGGACATTATATTTCGAACTGTTACCATCAGGGAGGCGTTATAGGCGTCTTAAAATGAGGACTAATAGATTGAGAAACAGTTTCTTTTCCAAGGCAGTAATTGTCTTGAATCAAACAGTGCATTTGTGATTTAGTCCTATTATTATTATAATTATTTTAATTTTTAAATACTCTGTAGTGTGATTGTGATGTGGTGTTTGGGGCACTGTGCTGGAGTAGCTTTCAAATTTCATTGTATTCATGGAATGCAATGACAATAAAGGTATTCTATTCTATTCTATTCTATTCTATTCTATTCTATTCTATTCTATTCTATTCTATTCTATTCTATTGTTTTGATAGCTGTTATATCTTCTGTATAGTTATCGTCTACATTGCCTCACCCTTCCCATTAATATCCAAAGATGTCCCAAATCTGCATTTATATATGAATGGTCAAGTGATTATTCATATAGAAAATTATAGATCATGTTGAAAAGTATAATCTGCAGGGAAAAAGTAGTAAGCTTAACTTGGTTTGCCTTTACCCGTAACATTTTAGATTTGTCTGTACTTATAGAAAAAATAGGCCCAAGACAGGTTCCATTTACCAATACTTCCCATAAAAGAGAAAAATAGTAAGGAACCATGCTAAAAATTCAAATTTCTTACTGTTTATGGGGATAGTATTGCATATACCAATGAATCTGTAACAAACTCTTGGAGATTTATAATACCAATTTAAGTGCATATTTCATTGTAAATGTTTCTACATTAACATATTTTCACACCTCGATTTTGATTCCACTCATGAGCAGTACCAAGCTGAGAAACATTATAGCTCCAACAACCATTGATCTGATGGAAGTAATCATCAGTACTGAATACAATGCCATTATAACTCTGACCACGGAGAATACTGTCAAAGGAATAAAAAGGAAGTGTATTATCACACAGTCAAATGATGGTTTGGAAAAACAGAAAATCTTATACTGAAATTTTATGCTAAAAAAACCAGAAAATCTTATACTAAACCATTTCCAATACATTTTTGACATACATCTTAGGACTACGACAGTTCCCAAATCTAATTTTTTACTACCTATTTCCCCCTGAAGAATAATCCATTCATAAATGATATTTCTAGAAAGAATTTAATTCAATTCCATAACAGATAACTTAATTACTTGATTATATATTTATGCTGTCTTATCTATCTTCCAATTTCATGTGGAAAGAAACTATCCCAAAGAATACTAATAATTATTTTCTGTTTTTAAACCAAAAGGTATCATTTATATTGATTTTAAGAAAAATCAGCAAAATTACTTTAAAATCTACTAATCATCATTATTCAGAAGGATCCTTTTATCCATCCATCAATATTTTTAAAAAATTTAGGCTCCACAAAGATAAGCAATAAATAGCCAAAGTACATTAATAGTTTAAATTCAGGTAAATACATATCTCATGCAGACTAAGCTAAAAATTATTAATACAAACATTTCTAAGAAGTCCTCAAAAATGGTCTTTCTAAAACACTTTTAGAAACTATCCCACTTGTTCTAGCTCAGTTACCTATATTTCAACAAAACGCTTTGACCTACTTCCCAAAACATACCATTAAAAGAATGTATGCTAATTACATTAAAACATATTTATACTATCTTAATTCAAATTATTTCCTAAATTTTACAGAATATTCTAATTAATGAAATAATAATTAAAATATAGTCTAATAATAAGAAAACATGATCTACATGTAAGATTCAGAAAGGCCTTTTGTGGAATCCAGTCACTGTTTGTCCAAAGGCCCATTTTCTTAGCTAGAAGTTAAAAGTTATATAAGCCTAATACTAACACCAGTTATCTGAAAACCCTGTATAATTTCAACAGCTTTAAATTTTGCTTTGTTGAAGGGCAACTACAGAGTCTTATCTTTTAGATTTTTTTCACATCTATTTGTTCATGCTCCCATATACTTTTTCCATTTTAAACAAAAAAAAAGAAATACAGAAGAACTAGTTGATCTGAAATTGTCCAGTTCACAATCTTCAAATAGTTAAAACAAGGTGTTTTTGTTTCTAAAATGTTAATACTTGGGTTGATATTTGAGCTTAAACAATAAGTTAAAGAGTACATTTTGATGAATAATTTAAGATCATTAGCCAACTACTGAAAAAGTCCTGATTTCGATCTGGAGATAGAGGGAATAAGAAATAGAGGGGGAAAAGATTAAAAGGAAGCAGCAGTAGAAAAGAGGAAGTCTATGAAATAAATTACTTCTATTTCATTCTTAAAATAAAGTCATGATTCACTTACTGAGATAAGGTTGTCTTTCCAGAGCCTGGAAGTCCTCTTAACATTAAAAGTCGCTTTTTAAACTCATATGATTTGTCCTGAGGATGCTGCTGGGGAACATTATTTGACTCCTCAAAATTGTGAGCTTTACTGTTTTTCCAATTTGCTTGGGTTTCACAGAAAACATTAAACATATATCCGTTGGGTCCACTACATTCATTTCTGATTATATTCATACTAGGAATATTCAAGTGATTACTGTATGGATTACTTTGATCACGTTCTGAACTGTTCATGTTATTTTTTTTAAATTCTGTATTTGAAGAATTGAAGCCATCTGAACAAAGTGATAAGGAATTAGAGTTCTGAAAATTGAAGTGAGCAGTAAATGGATGTGGTGGGTTGTAAGGTATTACAAATGGATGGGTCTGTGGGCCACTATGCCTAAACTGAGGTACAAAATCATTCCAGAATCTAAAATCTTGTTTATTACATGGTTGTTCGATTTCCCATGCATCTCTTCCATGTTCACGTTGTTCCATGCCAGTTCTGTGACCATTTGGGTCATTACAAATGTCTTTGCCAGTTCTATAACTATTTGATTCATTATAAAAATATTGTCCCTCATTGCTCTTATGAGACCATTCTTGAGATTTTACATACATTACTTGATTTGATTTACTACAGTCCAGAGATGGATAAGGTGAATTTGCTTCTGTCTCCTGTAAATGAGTATCTGGACAACTTTCATTACTTTCAAGCTGATCAATTTCCCTGTAGAACTGTGACAATTCATCTTCTATTTTTGGCATATCACAGGAGATAGCTTGCACTATTCCTTTCTGAGACTTTTTACCATTAATAGTATTTGATCTCTTTGGGCAGTTGTTTTCAATATACTTTTGCTTTTGTTTATGTTCAGAATTACTTTCACTTTTATAAATGGGCCCAATAAATGCTTTGCTTGTGCTGTATAGTTCCATTTCCCCTTTATTCTTATGTTCATTAATGAAATTGTTATCTCCATTATGAGTTATATTGCTGTTGTCAGTAACGGAAGAATATTCATTTCCTTTAATTTTAGTTTTGTTTACTAAACTTGAAAGATCTGTTGAACTTGGTGTTTGACCAAGAGGTTCTTGGTTAAATGAATTTAATACTTCTGCATTTCTTTCTCTTTCTCTTTCCTCCTTTTGATCATCATCATCAGATAGCGACAATGGTATAAAGCCAGAATGAGTTTTTTTTATATGTATTTCCTCATGAAGTCTTTGTAATTCATCATAGGATTTACCATAAGGCTCTTCTGTAGATTTCATCCTTTTAGAAGAGGGCTCAACTACTGAGACATCCTGATTTTCAAAATATCTTGACTTAAACGCAGCATGAAGCATCTTAAAAACAATAACATATATTTAAAACATTATATCAAATATGTTTCATGTTTTGATCACATCACTCATGCAATGATTGAAGCTAAACATGCTGAACTGAGGATACACCCATTGTAGCCAACCTATTTTCTTCTATGTAAATATACTTTCTAAATAATAAAATGTTATTGTAAAATTAGTAAGAGGTTGTGAAAAAGGGCCTACAGGTAAAACATATTCTTCAGTTTACAAAGTGCTTTGGCATCAAGGTGTCTTTTTTATATTTCAATGACAGTATACACTATCACACTTTTGCTATCTATGTTAACTTTCAATTGCTTTGGGGGGAAAAAAGTTGTGAAGAAATTGAGGCCAAACAACAACAAAACGGATAGACCTTGTTTTAAAAACACACAATAGCAATCTTCAAAAAAAAAAAAAAAGCCCTTGCCACTTCAGAATTAAGATCCCAGGTCATATAATTTTACCCTTGCCCTTTTCTTAAAGGTCCCATGTGTTACCTAAGACTCATGATCCGGATTTTGGGAGGGCAGCCCCCTTCCAAATGATCTGCCCGTGTGACAGCTGTGGCCAGGCCATCTATGCTTCCCCTTGTTTTTATGCATCTGGTGCCCCGACATCACTGGGCGGGCATGTCAATCCTACACCTCCTCATGCGACGAGTGACAGCTCAGATACAAAAAGCAGAGCCCCAGTGAAGGGCTTGCCTACACTTTCTCTCACTCCTAGGTTCTGGACTACCAGTCCCATCCCCCGCGGCAAAGCGACTGCCCTTACAGCTAAGAGCAATGGGAGCTGTAGTCCAAGAGGGCCAGACTAGCTAAGGCGGGCGGCTATATCCAGTCTATCAACACGCGTCACACAGAAAACAAGCATCTGCCCACCAGCCCAGTTCTTCTCCCTCAGGCTGTACAATTCAGAGGGTTTCCTAAGCATCGCTCTTCCCAAAGAAACTTTCTTATCCGCATCGGCAGACTAACCTCAAATCAAATCGGCTACTCGCTCGCCAAACATTCCGGAGGTCAAGCGGGGACGGATACTACGCACCCCCACCAAAGCAAGGCCAAAAGCCCAAACAACCTCAAATCGCCTCCTTCCAAAATGGTGGCTTCCTTAAGCTTCCGCGCATGCGTTTTGGTAGTTCTCACGGCCTACAAAATACATTTCCCGACATTCCTAGAGCGTTAATATGACATCATAGAAGAAAAGCAAAGAGCGGAACCTGCAGGAGAGCGAAGCAAGAAAATGTTAGATAGTTGTGGGGCAAGTTTATAAGAATATAAGTGCAACAATAAAAAAGAGAAATTCTGAATTTTATCGACCTTGGCGTAACAGGTATAACGATCGCAAGTTCGAAAGATCTTTAAAATAAATCTCTGATTGCTATCCAGGACGCAGTATATAAATCCGTCCCCGGAAAATCCTTTGCGTGTGTTACCATACCACCTAGTGTTACCTACAGTTCATCACAAATATTCGGATGATTGGCAGCAACGACATACAAAGCCTGTATCTTTTTGTCCTGCAGCTCAAATGTATTAGCCCGATTACAAACGGTTTAATTCCCGGGCAGCTTCCGAACTCATTTTAGAAGGTTCCACATACCGTACATAGAAGTTACATAGAAGTAAATACTATACAATTTAGTTGAACGTAATCGTAACAAGATGCGCTATACTGCATGGGGTTTTCACTGTTCCACATGAATTCGTTTATTTTACACATTTTATTTTTACTGTATTCCTAAAAGTGCAGTTATTTTTATTACAGCCCTTTTGCCTACAGTTCCTTCCATATGCAACAAGTAGAAATTCTTTTTCCATTTTTTCATTTCCATAATTGAAAGCTGCCTTGAGCTTGGAAAATTAGCTGTGTTTTAATTTATTAGGTATACATTCAAATTTGCATTATCCAGAGTACTCCATTGCTTAAATTAATTACTGTGGTAAGGCAGCCTCCCTAAAATAAAAAACTTTGCCGTTATGTCAAATAAATTACTTCTGGAGTATTCAAATCTTTTCTGTTGAAAGAGATATGCAATTCTATTGGTATACGGGGTGTGTGTGTGTGTGTGTGTGTGTGTGTGTGTAGAGGTAGATAATAATTATAATGATAATTCTAAACGTTGAAAAGATTAGAAAGGAAACTTTATCATATTCTATAAATTATGATTTTACTTTGGTTAGTGAAAGGTATTTACTTTCCTTTTAGGATCATCTCTATTTTCTACAATTAAATCACTCAAATATTTCAGACTATGGAGTGGAGTACACCAAAAGACAAATATTTTCATCATATCTATAATCTCTATAGCACATATATTAGGAGGATTTGAAAAAATAGCAGCTGAAATAAAAAATTGGCAATCAAATGTAAGCTACATTTACTTTGTTAGCTACTAATTTTTTTTAAATGTACAAAGCCCTTTTTGGCATGGGACTGGATTATCTGAGATAGGTTTCTCCCCTGTTGTATGTGATCATCCCACCAGATCCAGCAGGAGAGGGAGGCTATGAGCCTTCTGCATTGCAGAGTGCCCTCTGGTGGGGTCCAGGAAGAGAGCCTTTTCTGTCTGCCCTTTGGAGCATAATCATCCCAGAGATAAGACTACCTCCAACTCTGCTGGCCTTTCGTAAAAACTTTGATAATGTTTGATAATTGAGCATGTTGGTCAGTGTCCATGAGATGGTTCTGTTGATGTTCGATTTCGGATGTTTGTATATAGTTTCATCTTGGCTGCTGCCTATGTATTTACAATATTTCTTTCCAATGGTGATTGGAGCTGGAAACTCCAATGTTAAGCAGTACAGGTGGTAAGGTGTTAGAACACAATTGCACTTCAATTAGATAAATGGCAGTTAGATTAGATAAATGAAAACACAATTGCAAGGGCTGGATCAGCATTTTAGATCTCCGTGAGCCGGCTATGGGGCGGGAGATATGGGACGGACGCCTCCTACAGCACTTTGCTGGCCAAAACAGGACGCAGGGCCCCTGCATGCACCCCACACACCCATTTTTGCAACCCCCACAGGCCAGTCCTTTACTATTTCCAGACCAGCCCCGCGGGCCAAATGTAAGCACCCCGCAGGCCAGATCTGAGTCACAGGCCTTGAGTTTGATACTCTTGCCCTAGGGTGTTACATCTGGCAGGACCCAGAAGAAGGGCCTTCTCCATGGTGACTCACTCTTTCTGGAACATACCTCCCCCAGAGATTAGATTGGTCTCCACTCTAACATTCTTCCAGAAGGCGCTGAAGACCTGGGTCTGCTAGCGGGCCTGGGGAACCCAGAGCAAGATGGAATCCATTAATGGCTTGTATGAATATGTCACCAGGATGCGGGTGGGTGAGGGGCTATTATTTTATTATTTTTTATTATTTTATTATTATTTATTATTTTATTATTATTTATTATTTTCTTTTATTATCATTTTTATTTTTATATGATGTTTTTATATTTATATTTGTGTAAACTGCCTTGAGTCACCACGGGCAAGTAGGCAGCAATATAAATTTTCTAAAATAAATAAATAAAATAAAATTTAAAAAGCTTTAATTAGCAACCTTCTTTAATTAGGAGCACTAGTGAAAGCTGACTTATTTTCATCGTCCAGACAGAGCAGGGGTGTCAAACTGGATTTCTTTGAGGGCTGGATCGGCATTGTAGTTCTCCTCTGAGGGCCAGCAGGGTGGGGGGCAGGATGGATGCCTCCTGCAACACCCTGCCAGACAAAACGGGGTGGAAGGTCTGCAAAAGGCCCCCCAGCACCGAGTTTTTGCCTTCCACAGCCTCTTGCAGTACTCTGCCGGATGAAAATGGGCCGTGTGGCCCATTTTGGGGCCATTTTTCAGTCATTTTTTGACCTGTTTTGGGGCCAATTTTGGCCAGCAGAATGCTAGAAACCGTGGAAAGTAAAAATGAGGTGTGGGGGCACACACGGCCTGTTTTAGCCTCCGGAAGCATCATAGGCCGGTCCCTTGATATTTCCAGGCTGGTCCCATGGGGCGGATTTAAGCACCCTGAGCTTGACACCCCGGTCTAGAGTCTAGCGGTTAATTTTTCACAGAAGAAGATGAATGTCTGTTTGCTAAGTACTGAGGGAAAGGGGTATTGTAAATAGTATCACAACTGCTATACAGAAACATTCACCAAATGACATATTATTCCACTGATGCGCATAGCTTGCTCATTTTTATACCAGTTTCTTTAATAATATTTTAATGTCATTAAGGTAACTTTCTCCAACCTGGTATTCTCCAGATATGTTGGAACTGTAATTCCATGAATCCTTGTGAATTACAGTCCTATCATCTGCAAAAAAAGTGGTGCTTTCAGAAGGGAATACCACTCTACATCATTTTATGTACATTTATTGGAAAATGTGCCGTTAAACTCATTATATTTTAGTTGGATTTAGCTCTCTTGGAAGTAGACATTATTTTCAGGCATTAAAAACAACAAGTACTCTTGTAAAATGTCCTAAATCTAACTATGGTACTTTATGAATATCATCTTTCTTGGGAGCAAACATCGCCAAATTAATAGCTTTTTGCTCCCAAGAAAATATGTTTAAGATCTAAGTCAGAATGAAATGCTAAGATGCTTGCAATCATAAAGAATTACATTACAAATATACCTGCAATAAAACTTACAAGAAAATTAGATATCCTGATCCTAAAGAAATGCAATAATAAAATTACAGCTGAATTGAAAATTTGTACTATTTCTATCAGTTAATAAAAGTGGTGGTTTAAAAGGAAAAAAAAAGAAATGCAATAATAAAATTTGTCTAACAGAAGGTATACCCAAATCACACTTGTTCTTATCAAATCCTTATGCTTTATTTGCCTAATATGGCAATTATGTAAAATATACATTCACTGTAACTTGGATTTTATGAATTCCACATATTTTTGGCATGGAATATTTTCCAAGCTACGTGTGGGTTCTACCAACATATACAATAAAGAGTTGTAATAAATAAGGAAAATCCAGGACCTATGTGAAGCTTAGAAAATTCTGTGACCAAAATTTCAGAATTGAAAGTGGATAGAATACATTTTCACAAATTGTTATATAAAAATGTTGGAGATCACAGCTTTTAACAAATGGGCATGTTTATCACAAAATGTGAGATATATTATTTCTGATGGATGTAAGCAATTTATTCTTATTTCAATCCCAAATGTTTTTTAAAAAGATCAAATAGCAAACTGTCATCATATATACTAAGTCATTTTGAAATATGAACTGTATTAAACATAATAGCCCATTAATTTTAAAGTACAAATTTCCTATTTTTATTATGTCTTTTCCTTATTTATCATTTTTTAAAAGCTTAGTGTGCAAGATTTTGTTTTTTACATAATTGAATTCTTCCCAGTCTGTACCTCTGCAGATTAAGACATGATTATATATATTGAATTCTCATTTCCATCATGCCTATGTTTGCCTGAAGTAATGTGCCTGGAGTAAGGACATTTTTAAATTGAAGTTTTCTAGTACTACCAATGTAAAAATCATGTGCATTGTACAATCATTTTTTTCTGATAAAAAAATGAGAAGAAAGCAGAGTTGATATTGTACTGACAAAAAGTAAAGTATCATTTAGACTCCTTGAAAAGTGTGCAACTAAGACAAAATCACCATCTGTCAGATATTCCCCATCTTCAAGCTGATATGCAACAGGTAGTCCTTGAGTTACAACAGCAATTGGAACCAGAATTTCTTTTGCTAAGCAAAGTTTTAAAACATGATACCAAGTAATTGTATCTGCAGTTCTTATTGCCATCATTAAGCAAGGAAGGTAGATCATGGCTTGTTAAGTGAGGACCTCATCACAACTTCCTGTTAGGTTCCAACAACCAAAATCAGTGGGGAAACAGGCAGGAAGTTGCAAGTCCTCGGTGTCTCACAATCAGGCTGCCAAGTAGATAAGTGGTTGCTGACTAGTGGGAGAGGAAACAATGGGGTACATGGATGGTCAGAGAGGTGCAGGGTGATCATGGCAGGTAATGGAATGGCTGCTGTGAATGGGGAGGGTACACGAATGGTGCATGGATGGGGAAGACTTATCCAAGCAACTTGTGATCTTCCCTGCAGGCTTCCCCATTGATTTTGCCAGCAGGGAATGTCAAAAATTATGAATATGTGACTATGTGATGCTGCAACTATTGTAAACTCAAGCCAGTTGCCAAATGCCCCAAATTGCAATTTCATGACCACATGGTTGCTGGGATGGCCAGGACTGATCATAGCCATCACTTGTTCAATGCTGCTATAATATTGAATGTTTGCTAAATGGATGGGCACTAAATGAGGCTACCTGTACTTTGATACAGTTATTCGGGCAGACCAGCATTTCAGATTAAGTATTTCAAATGCATTCTGGAATGTGAGAACAGCTAGTTCAGAGTTGTGACATTAGAACCAGAATTTTCATCATAAGTCAATCTAACCAGATCCAATCTTTTTAGTGTTTTACGGCAGTCATTAAAGGAATCATGTAGTCCAGGCCTATCAAACTGGTGGCCCACGGGCCAGATATATCACGTGCAGGCCACGCCCACCCCAGCTCTGCAAAGACAAAAAAGTCATGATATATCATGTGACACTATTAAGTTTGACACCTGACATAGTCATTAACCAAATTAATTACGTTGAATGGCCGTTTAGTCAAAACATTGTGAATATCCGTCATGTGACTGGGATGCTGCAACCAGCCATAAATATGTGATTGCCAAGCACCCAAAATCCTGTCATGTGCCTGAGGGGCTGGGAAGGCACAATGTTTTACAATGGCTAGAAGAGCTTTATCGGCCATGAAGCACCTTTCCGAGGACATTGTAACTTTGAACAGTCATTAAACAACCGTTCCTAAGTCAAGGACTACCCACATATCCCCTGAGGACAATCTTTTAAAAGCAGTGGCCTCTTTCCCAAATTAGGCAGCTGCTACTTTAATATGTTGTCAACAAATATGACATTTCTTCTCTAGCAAGCTCAAAAGCAGATTATGCAGGTCAAATCTGAAGTGCTGCACAACTCTTGTAATGATACCTATGTGAGAAAATTTATTCTGTCATTAATTTCTGAAAAGTAAATTGAAATAGTTGAGCTTGTTTGTATGGTTTCCAGAAAAACTCACGATGCACAATTAGCCTAACATATATTTCCACTTATTGTATCTAGCACTCATTTCCTTTCCGTAATATAGTCTGTAAGAAGATACCAAAAATTCATCTTACTCATGTCCTTTAGGTTAGGTTGTGCTCTTTTGAAGTTTTGTACCTGGCAAAAGGTACACTTGTACTTTTGAGCTGCAGGGATGTTTAAAATGTTCTGTTATAGAACATTCCAGAAACCTCAGACAAGCTATTCTGACATCAGAAGACATTCAATTTCCAGAACACTTGAAATCACCTATGACTGAACATTTTATACATGTCAGTTGGGCTTTTGCCATGTATGAAGATATTTGATTTTGGTTACTCGCATCCCAAGGAGAGGACGGAGATGCTGGTTTTTGTTTTGGCTTTATGGTTTTTATAGTTCTGGATTTTATTGTTTTTCTGAACTGCCCGGAGAGTTGTATTTTTAGTTAGGCAGCTGTACAAATATTTTAAATAAATTACCCTCTATTTCAGGGGTGTCAACTCAAAGCCAGTGGACTGAATCAGGCCCACGGGATGCTTAGATCTGACCCGGGGGACCGTCCTGGAAACAGTGAATGATCAGCCCGCAGTGGGTCGGCCAGTGAAAATGGAGCTTGGGAGGGCCACATGCGGGCCCCCAAGCTCCATTTTCATTGGCAAAGGACTGTAGGAGGCTGAACTAAAAACAAAAGGAGAAATGTTTTCCCTTTTGCATTTGAGCATCCAAGAAGGGATAGGAAAGGAGAAAGGGAAAGAGAAAAGAAAAAGAAGAAAAGATGGGAGGAGAGCAAGGACGGAAAAAGGAAAAAGAAAGGAGAAAGAGGGAAGGAAAAAGAAAAGGGAGGGAGATTATAATGAGAGGGAGGGAGGGTCTGAGGGAAGTCCTGCCTTTGCACTTGGCCGCCACAGGTGCCCCGACACATGTGGAGCTGGCCACACCCACCCTGGCCACGCTCCACGCCCCCCCCCAGGTCAAACACAACCCTGATGTGGCCCTCAATGAAATTGAATTTGATACTCCTGCTCTATTTAATCTTTTCCCAAGAAGAATAGACATTGATGATGTTAAAGGTATTGGAAACTTCCTAGTAAAGGGTGTTTTGCAATTGACTGACAGATTTTGTCAATGGGAATGGTAATTGGTACCACATTCAACTTGTATTTACAAGTTGTTGTCATTATTAATTAAATTTACATGCCTCCAAATTCACAACAATTCTGGGTGGTTTACAAATATTTAATTGATATGAAATTAATTTAAACATAGTTAACATGTTTATTCAGCGAATATTTAATATACTCCTCCTTAGAATGATAGAGTCAAAAGACGCCATAAAGTCTTTGTTAAATGTTCTACTCCTTCAAGAATTCAGATTAAAACATCTTTGACAGGTGTCTGTCTAGCCTCCATCTCAACTTTCACCTTCCTTAAAAATCGGTTCCACGGATAAATTAACTTAAAACTATTATTTTGTGTCCTGAATTTTCGGAGTAGAGGAACAGGTTTTTTCCTTCCTCCGAGTGGTATCTATTCAAGTATTACCATAGTAAACATTTTACTCCCAAGGAAAAACACCTATAGAGCTTCAGTCTTATGCCTCAGAGAGTAATCCGCGTGGTAAGGAGCAAGATTGATTTCCGAGTCAGATTACTGAGAACCGAATGATGTTGCGGAATGTCCTAAAAGTTTGATACTCCGGTTTCTTCTTTGTCCACCCATTTCCTATTAACTCTCAGACCCTGTTCTGCGGGGCAACAAACCCAGTCCTAAAGTTTTCCACGCGCTACAAAGTACTATTGTGCAATACTACCTTTGTAGCACTATTTACTCTCACTCGGAAGGAGGAAAGAAAAACTCTTTCCCGCTATTTTATGGCGGAGGCTCGGGGCGAGGTGGGTCGTATGCATTCTTTTATCTCTCCGCTCTTTTGCGCCTTTTAATTTTTCCCTCGGATCCTGCAGGGGTCGCTGCTACCTTACTTTGAGGGCGGCCTCTCCCAGCCGCTCGGTGGCGGGGTCTCGGGGAACGGAGGACTCGTTGCCGCCATTTTGAAGCTGACGGAAAGGGGGGGACCGCAGTGAGCTGCGGAAGGCGATTGGCTGCGTTGGCGAGCGACGGCGGTAGCGGCTGCTGCTCCAGCCTAGCCTAGCCTAACGCGGCGGGCCGGAGAGGAGCATAGGGGGCTCGCTGTGCCTCGTCTCCGCTCGTGGAAGAAGCAGAAAAGGCGACGGCGGCAGTCAACCACGGAAAGGTAAGGGTGGAAGGGCGAAGAGGCTCTTCGGGCAGGAGCCCCCTGCACGTCCCCGCCTCCTCGTTTGCCTCTCGGCTTGTTCAGGCATCCGGAAAGCGAGGCGGATTGTGGCCCGAGTGCTTCCCTCCCCCCTCGCCTCCCGATATTCCCCTCACGCCGTTCCTTTCTACGCCGCCATCCCTGCCTCGCTCAGCCGTAGTGAGCATGTTGAACTTGCCGCCCTTTCCTCCGCTGTGCGATTGTGGGTGTTTGTGTGCGGGCTTGTTCTGAGCCGCGGCGGGCGAGAAGCAACGGGGGTGGGGTGGGGAATTGACCTTGTCCGAAGCGCCTTCTTTTCCTTCGGAAAATCCAGGGGTGTCCCTCTCCTCCCGCGGGCGCTGTATCTTGGTCCTCGAGGGGTCTCCGTTTGAAGCCTCCTTAAAGGAAGACAGGAGGAGGAGGTGGAGCAGCAGCGGCCGCGACAGGAGGCGGCAGCAGCAGCAGTAGACGCTTCCTTCCCTTAAATGTGGCGCTACTGCAGTCGGCCTCCCTTCGGTTCCACCCGCCCGCCCTGCCCTCCCGCCCCTGGAGCCGCTTTTTCTGCAAAAGACTTGAATGGCTCGGACAACCCTGGAGCCTTGCCCGTCCCAGTTGGCCTAGTTCCTCGCGCAGGGACCCTGCCCCAGCTCTACCCCTTGCCGGCTGCCATTGGCTGGGGCCTGTCGGAGACGAGGGAGGAAAAGGGGGCTCCCGAGATTTAGCCGCTCCCCCGTTCCCGTTTCATACTCTCAACTTGCCAAAAGCATTGGAGGCATCTCTTTCTATACGCGCGGAGGAAGCGGCAACGGGAAAGGCGGGGAAAGTGGTTGCCGAACATAATAAACACCCCTATCTTTCTCCTGGGTTTTTTTTAATGTAGCAGTTTGGGAGTTGGCTCAATTATTAAGCAAGGCCTCCACACTTTTGGGGGGTAGGGTGAGGGAGGGGGAGAGAAATCGGCATGTTAAGCATTTGCGATAAAAGCATTCTAGAGGGCTTTTCTTTGAAAGAGGAAGGTTTTTTTTTAAAAAAAAATCTGAGTCTTTCACGATCCCTTTTCATTGTTTATGGAGAGAGGCAAATTGGTGGCTTTACTAAGTAAAATTAGTGATGCCGATTCCTGGAGGTGTGGTTGAAAGTAATGGAATTCAGTTTGAAGAATGGGGAGCTTGTGGAGAATCTAAGAAGTATTCAGAGATGTATAATATAGAGTCACATCTTGTTAACGCAAAGTTAGTGCATTTTACTGCCTACTTTGCTGTTCTATTAAGGTGCTTAGAATAGTTCCTGTATTTTTTGACACCATATGTTCATTATATTTACAGTTGCATTATGAACCCATGAGGGTAGTTACCTACATGATAAATTGATTGGCGGTTAAATGGGTTTTCTCTCTGTCCATAGTATCTGTGTAATTTGTGTACATGTTATTGAGGACCTATACAGGTGGGTGCTCCACTTACCATGGTTCATTTAGTGACTGTTCGAAATTACAGTGGCCCCTAAAAAAGTGACTTATGACTATTTTTCATGATTAAGAGTGTTGCAGCATCCCTGTGGTCATGTGATCAAAATTCAGACGCTTGGCAACTAACTTATATTTATGACAATTGCAGTGTCCCGGGATCATATGATCACCTTTTGCGACCTTATGACAAGCAAAATCAATGGAGAATCTAAGTTCATTTACCAACCATGTTACTAACTGTGATTCACTTAACAATTGTGGCAAAAAGATTGTAAAATGAGGCAAAACTTATTTGACAAATATCTTGCTTAGCAATAGAAATTTTGGTCTCAGTTGTGATGGTAAATCGAGGACTGCCTGTATGTTGTGTATCTGCAGGTTTGAAGATGAAATGTGACCTTTGGGAGAATTTAATCCCCATCTATTCAGTGTAGCCTTTTATGCTAATTACCTAGTAATAATTTATAGTGAAAATTATATATTAATACATGATTTCAAAATTCCTCAGAAGTTAGGATAATTATTATTTATTTTGAAAGCTTACAAAATCTTTTAAGTTTTGTAGAAATCTTTATAGAATGAACTGTACATACATCCCACATTTCCTTGATTACCTGTGAAGGAGAATATTGCTTCTTCCCTTTCTGGTATACCTATGTGAACAGATATGGTTTGTTATGATAGTAAAAATTGTTGTATCAGCCTGGCAGAGAAAATACAACAGAATTGAAATTGCAGTTGTGGAGCTTGTGAATGGAGCTTTTCTCTCTCTTGCAACAAGAAAGCTTTTTAGTAGTGGCTGTATGGCATTCACTTTCCAGGACTTTCCATAAATCCTTGTTGTTGTCCAAGAAATTGTAATGTATTCTTAATTGCTGATAAGATTAGTTTTGAGTTGTCCAGTCTACCTTTTTTTTGCTGTTAACCTGTTATTTTATTGAAGTCTCATTATGTATTTATTTTGAAAAAGAGAGGAAAAATCTTTAAGAAAATGCTTTTAGCTAAAGCCTTGAAGCTAGAAATATAATAGCTTCCTTTCTGAATATAGTCTGGTTGTTGATTGTAATTATTTCTGACTGTATTATTTATAAATTTTACATGCTTCTTTTTTCTCATAAAGTTATTTGCTTGAACTGTACTGAAGAAATCTAATTGAATTACCCTAGGTTTTTTTCTAGTTTCTTTTCTTAACTAGTAAGAATGGAATAATTTACTATTTTCATATTTTCACTAAAAATATCAAGTGATAGTGGTTGAAATTTTGTTTACATGAGAAAACAAAATGTGATGGTATGCAAATACATACATTTCTAAGTGTAGAGAATTTACCTATAATGCATTTTATTGTGATATTTTATTAAAGAGATATAACTTTAATCATAATTTTTCCTGATCAAATACATTTGTTATGCTTTAAATTAAAATAATTTAAAGGCAGAATGTAAAAAAATAAAAAATAGATTAATACTAATTTTAAAAATAAAAACTAAGTAGTAGTATAATTAAAAACCTGGTAAAAAAGATGCATGTTTACATCTTCTAAATCCCGAAAGAATTAAGACCAAATCTGAGAGTAAGGAACAAAGCATGCCAGAAAACAGACACCTGGCAATGGAGGTATTTCCAAAAGAGCTCTCCTGGAGATCTTAATAAGCAGACAGATTTGTAATAGGGGAAGTATTCTGTAAAATAATTAAACTCTAAACAGTTTAGAGTGATAATGGTTAATTCCAGTAACTTAAATTGTGTCTAGTAAACAATTATCAGCCTGTCTATTTGATCAGAACATTATTGATACCATTATTGGTATTTATGCTTGATTTGTATAGCCGCCCATCTGAATGTGTCTGGGCAGTGAACAATTATAAAAACAATTAAACCAATTAAAACACAATGCAAAAAAAATTAAATACAAATAGCAGCCAAGAGATATTATAATCTGTTGGTCTCAACATAATCAGAAAACTATGTTCTTAGTATAATCACTAATTGGTGGACTAGCTGCCACATTTTGTACCAACAGCAACATCCAAATATTTTTCAAGGGTAGCTCCAAATGTAGGAAGTTCTAGTAGCTGAGACAGATTGTAATTTAAACCTGGATAACTGTTGCCAAATCTAAGCAACTCAGGAAGAGATGCAGCTAGCACGCCAGATTTAATAGTGCAAAGTACTCGTTGCCATAGCCAAAATCCTGTATTGACTTTTATGACAGTCACAGATAAAAGAGTGTTTTCAAATTTAAACATACTGCAAAGAGAATGTTTGAAAAAAAATCTGTATTTGAAAACACTTTACTTTTTGGTATACAGTACCAAATTCTTGCCATTTTCACTGCACTTCCTCTATATAGGTAGCCCTCGACTTACAATCACAATTAGCCCCAAATTTATGTTGCTAAACAAGACAGTTGTTAAATGAGTTTTGCCCTATTTTATGACATTTCTTGCAAAGTGGTTAAGTGAATCACTGTAGTTGTGAAGTTAGTAACACAGTTAAGTGAATCTGGCTTTTGCATTATCTTTGCTTGCCATAGGATTGAAAAAGGTGATCATAACCCTGAGACACTGCAACTGTCATACACATGAGTCAGTTGCTAAGCACCTGAATCTTGGCCATATGACCATGGGGATTCTGCATGGACATCCGCATAAAATAAATATGAGAAATGGTCATTAGTCACTTTAAAGTGCCGCTGTAACCCCAAAAGTCATTAAGGGAATTGTTAAATCAAAGATCACCGGTATTGCTGTTAACTTATGGATTTTTCTTTTGGCAATTGTTGCTTCTTGAAACTTAAAATAATACAGTATAGCCTTGTACTTGTTTGTTTTAAATTTATCTAATTATAAAGGATAAAAAATATAAAAGAAGTGTTAGATTTGTTTGTGACTTTATAACTTTTCTGATAGTGAGTTCTTGTAATGACTGATATGAGCCTCAAAGTGGAAGATCAGTTTAATTATATTAAGATTAATTATAGGTTGCATTAATTATAGACTTATTTATGATGATGTATAGCAGCATTATGAGATGTATAAGATATGCTACTGAATTTGGTTAAAGTAAGCCAACAGTTATGGTTGGGAAATCTGTAGTTTTCTAGATGTTGTTCTCCAGTAACACTGGGACTGGGATTCAGCAACATCTTTAATACAGTGAAATTGGTCTTTGTGATGAAGTTTGGAAAAACATCATTACAATACAATATTTTTAAAAAGCCTCAAGGTAAGCGTGCATGCATACATAGACACACACAAAAAATGCATTGGCTTCATAATCATGTGTTTGTCAGAAAGTGATGAGAGAGAAAGAAACGGTACTAAGAAATTAAAATGTTTTATAAAGTATTAATTATTCATTATGAATTTTAATGATACCTTGGACTTGAAATAAAAACAAAATTATAAAGCAACTTATAACTTGACTTGGTGGAAATTATTAGAGTTGAAGAATGTCCAGCTAGAAAGAAAATACATATTTGAAGGACATTAAATTGGCTTTGAATAAGATT